CCCTCAAATTGTTGGAATTTTTTTTTTATGACCTTATTTTTCCTTGACCACAACTAAAGGCTACTCCCAAGAGCCAGCAGAGTGCATCAAACCATTAGCAGATTCTTCCTCCTAACAGATAAAATGTCTGTTTACCAAAACCCATCCCTCATTAATAAATATCAAATCAACTTCCACATAACAAATGACGTGTCCTGGACTGGTTCATAAGACTCACGGTACCATTCCCCTCCTTATTTGGAAGCAGGAGATGATGCAGGCAGTTTTTGTAGCCATCCTCACCTTTACTCTTGGGACAGGTAAGTGCAAGGGGGATTGAAAACCTTTGAGGAATTCTGTTCTCATCTGTGTGAGAAGGGATTTTTGTGTGCTAACGATGTTTTTCCACAGCTCCACACTCTTTCTTTTTTTGATGCATCTCTCACTGGTTGCCTGATGTTTTTGTGTTTCAAGTGGAATTCTCTTTCCAGCAGGGGCTGCTCCAAAGTACCTCTGCACCTACTATGACGTTGTTGACTACCTGAACATCTCCTCTCACGACAAGCTGCACACGTACATTCTGCCCAAGATAAACCTGAAGCCTGTGGAAGTGAAGGTGGATTTCCTTCTGGTGGCAATTCTCTCTGTGGTAAGGACCCAAAATGAGTCTTACAACAGGAAACTGGGCTGTTACCAGGCCAGGGTTTGAGTCTTCTGACAGCAAGTTCACAGGGGTGAGAATCAGCCCCTTCCACTTCACTCCCTGCTGTTGGAAAGCACTTTTGGAAGATCTGGAGTATTTTCTCCAACTCCTTCCAGAAGTCACATCCAGACAAGCAGTCTGCTCAGCAGGAGGCTCCAAACACCCTGCAGAGTGCCTGAACAGGCATTTGCAGGACACTGCCATGGAAATGTTAACAACAATCTGTTATTTTCCCTAACCATTGGACTGTGTGCTCCCACTCTTCAGCCACAGGACCAAGAGCCATGAGCTCTCTTCTCAAGCCCTGTGACTGCAGTCTGTGCTCAGGGAAGAGCTTCTGCATTGGACACATCTGAGAAAATCAGCTAAGTATCTTTGTTTCTCCAGGTGGAAAAGCTCCAGACAGTCAGTTTTTACTTCGTCCTGAACCTGGTAGGTCCCTCAAGAGCGTTTCTCTCCTGATCCCAACACAGAGGCTGCTGCCTAGCCCAGAGCTCACCTCTCTCCTGCAACTTCTTCCCTCAGGAATGGCAGAACCCTTTTGCAACCTGGGACCCCCGGGATTTCTGTAACATCTCTGAAATTGTTCTGCCCATGGATACTTATTGGTCGCCCCCCATCTTCATCCTAGAGCGGTACGTTCCCCTTTCATTGTTATCCACTGGCTCAACAGAAATACAAAGGATGCAAGCTGTTGGTGATGGGATAGGAAATGGGATAAACTCAGATGGCTAAAAGTTGTTCCCTTGAGCTCTCTGTAACGGAGAGCCTCCTAATTTAGATTAATGGTGACCACAGTTTATACTAAGCACTTAGTGGCTCTGGAATACTGGAACAGCTCCTGAAATATCCCATCTGGGCTGTAGCTAAAATCGAGGAAGCAGCAGAAACCAGCTCTGCTGTGGAATAAAGTGACCTTCAGTGGTGTGAGGAAAGATACAGCACTGAGGGTCTGACAGAGGGATGGGCACCTCCACCAGCTCTCCAGAGGGAGAAGGGAGAGGGAGGCAGAGCTAGGAATGAGCCTGTGCCCTGGTGAGGGCAGGGAGCAGAGGGCAGAGAGGCAGGAGATGCTCAGGAGGTGTGGAGCTACAACAAACCCTGATCCCAAAGGGCTCATGAGCCCTTCTCCCAGCCCTGGTTTCCTCTCTTCCTGCTGCATCCCACGGCTGGGTGATGGCTCAGAGCCCCCAACAGGGTGTTCACATGCTGGTTTTATGGGGCTGAGGCACGGGCTCAGTTGCTGTCCCTGTGTGCTCCCTGCAGAGTGAACGGGCAGAACCCAGAGCTGAATTACATGGTCCTGATGCACAACGGCACCTCCAACTCCACCCGGCCCTACCAGGTCACCCTGACGTGCAGCTTGGTCATCTTCAAGTTCCCCTTCGACACCCAGAAGTGCAACCTGAGCATAGCTTCATTCCTCTACCCAGGTACAGCTGCAGGCTGAGCCTGACCCCCTCAGGGCTGAATCTGGAGGAGGAGGAGGAGATGAAATGGGCCCTGGTAACTCCTGAGCAGCACCACGTGCTCACAGCAGGGTTGAGGTCATATGAGACCAGGGAAAATGAGTTAAAATGCTGCCATTCTGTCCTGGCACATTGCCCAGCAACATCTCTGGGACAATCCAGATGTTCTGTGGCAAGCCCCTCCCAGGACTGGTTTCTACAAACCAAGAAACCTGAGGGCAGGAGGCTTCCTGCAAAACTGCTACTTGTTCACATAGAATTTGGCAAGGTCGATCTTTAAACACACCTGAAAGCCATAGAAATGGGGGGAAATTAATCATAGAATCCTAAAGTTAAAAAGATTTCCAAGGGCATCAAATACAACCATTAAAAGGAGAGTTTCAGGGATTCAAACTGCATTTAGAGTTCATCCCTGAACTCTGCTGAAATATAAGCAGAGATGGCACAAAATCTCCCTGGTCCCATCCACAAAGGACAACTGCCCTAATTCAACAGATGTTTCCCCTCTGATCCACATTCCCAGAGGTCCAGCCAAGCCTCTTCACAGAGACCTTTGTAATTTCTTCCTCATGGGCTGAGAAACCTGAGCAATGCATGAAACCTTCCCCCTTCCTGCCTGCATACACCCACAGCTGGGTGGGAAAGGGAGAGGAACAACTGACCTCTAATAAATTCCTAAATTCTTCAACTTCCCTCCCCCCTCTGCCTCCTGCCCAAGCAGTAACAGACTTTGTCATGAAGACGAGACGGACACCAGCCGAGATCATGAAAAACAGCAAGAGCTTAATCCTAACTGATGGAGAATGGCAGTTCACCAACCTGAGCATCATTGAATTCACGGAAATGATGGATGACAAAGGATTTTCTGTGGTCACCTATGTGGTATGGCAGCACTTCCATGTGATATTGCATTGATTTGGCTCGAAATAAACCCCAGTATGAAACAAGATGATTTTTTTACATTAGGGGACCAGCATTTGTCAACACATTGAGTCATTTCTTGCTCATCAAATTTTGCCCATCTTCCTCAACAGATTTCCATGGAGAGACGACCCACTCTCTACATTCTGAACTTGATCCTCCCAACGTGTGCCCTGTACTTGCTGGACATGGCTGTGTTGTTTGGTCCCAGCTCTCTTGAGGAGAAAATCAACTTCCAGATTGCCATCATTCTCGGCAGCTCCATGCTGGCTGTGATTCTCAACAACAGCCTCCCGACCTCCTCCAACAAACCACCCATAATAGGTACCCACCTTTATGAAATAAACCCCAATTTTCACACAGGTACCAGCCCTGAGAAGGGTTTTGGGATGTTGATAGACGTGTTCATGAACACTGGAGTCATGAGCAGCTAAGCTTGATTAGCTTGCTGGAGTTAGACTCCCCCTGCTCCCCACCAGGCAATGGAATGTAAGAAAATGCCAATTATCCAGAGCTTTCTCTGTTTTCCTGTTGCTCTGCAGTGGTGTTTTTCCTGGGCACCTTCCTGCTCATGATCATGGCTGTGTTAGACACCCTCTTCCTGCTGTACCAGCAGCGCAAATCCCGGCGCCCGGGCAAGGTCCTCAGGAGCTTCCAGCAAGGTAAAACAATCCACAACATCTGGAACACAGCAGGTTTGGGCACTCTGCACGTTTGGTGGAGCCAGGGTGGGTTTCCTCAGGGGCAAACAGTGCCCAGGCAGTGTGAGCCTTGTGGCCCCACTGTGCTGCCACTGCCCTTTGCTCCCTGCAGACCCACACGAGCTGCCCAAGAGACCCCCAGGCAAGCTGGCCAAGGAGGGGCCCCAGCTGCTGCAGCCTCCCAGGAAAGCCCCAGGACAAGGGCAGCCTGCCAAGCACCTCTGGCAGCTGCGGGAGCTGGAGCCATTTCTTCCAGTTCTGGAGAAGGTGCTTCTCTTCAGCCACCTCTTCCTGTCCCTGTTCTTTTTTACTGTGATTTCTGTGAAATGGAGCAGCTGAAGACCAGCTCTGCCCAGTGCCAGCTCAGTTGTTCTCTACTGTGTTGCTTCTCACTCCCTGCTGTAATTTGCTCCTGGTCAATTCATGGAGCTGCAGTTCATTTGCCTGAATAAAATAAAATAAAATTAAAATCCAAAGCCACAGGACCCAAGATCTGCATGTGTAGCACTTTGCACTCTGGTTCAGTAGAACTACAGATGTTCTTGAAGTATTCTGTGGGCTACTAAGGTATTTGAATAAAATAGTTGTAAAATCTGGGGACAATTCTGACCTGCAACATGACCAAGAAGAAAGGGAGCTGACTGCCTTCTCTTAGAGGAGTTTCCATCTTGAGGGGAGGTGTTTAAGAATCCCACCTCAGATTATTAAATAAAACAATGCAAGTCTTTACTATTGTTTCTGTGAGTTCCAGTGGGAACAGCAGCATTCACAAATCCAGGGCAAAGAGAGAAGGAGCACCACGATTAAGTGTTTTTAAAAATAACTTAAAAAGTAACTTTTTTTTAATGTGCATCTCAACTCCTTTTGCAACTGGCTTTTCCTAAACAATCACTCAGCCCAGAAAACAGCCCTGGACCTGTGCCTGTAGAAGTCTGAGACACTCCAAACACAATTCACTGCCAAATACACTGCAGCATCTCAAAGGGTGACACACGTTCAGCTTCTGAGCAAGTGTCTGCCTGCAAGGGCAGAGCTCTGTTCCCTGCACCTCGTGGTTACAGAGAGGACAGGAGGTTTATTTGCATTTCACAGGGTTCAGTTTGATCAGCAGGACAGGGAGCTTGGTCCCTGCTACAAAACAAGCTCGTGGGTAGAAAACACAAAATCCAGAAAAGGTGGAATGTTTGTGAGTCACTGTATTGCTCCACGTTACTCAGAACTCATGTCCAAGATCTAAGCCACAGACAGAGAAAGCTCTTTATTTATAACATCATGGAGTCTGACAGTCATCAAACTGCTCCCTGGGCAGTTTACAGATCAGCAATTGGCTTGTGGGGCCAGTATGGATATTTCTCCTTGTTCAGTTTGGTTTCAGGGAAGGCTTCGCTCAAGTCTTCAAACGTCATCTGCTCAAAGGGAATCATGTTCTTGAGCTTCTGGAGCTGTGGAAGCAGGGACAGACACACCACAAGTCAGTGGCAAGCAGGAAGGAGCAAAGCACACCCAGGAGGGCAAGGGGTGGCCCAGAGAACATTCCCAGAGCAAAGTGCACCTCACCTCCTGCTCGTAGTGGGCGATGCGGGCTTTGGAGGCCTGGATGTACTCAGCAGTGCTCTTGGCCTGGGGAGAGCAAGGACATGGGAGGCTGCTTCTGAGGAAGAGCCTGCACACACCCCCAGCAGGCCTTCAGCTGGCACTAAAATCCACCACTGCTACACTGGGTAACCCATGGAATCTCCAGCAGACCCCCAAGAGCCAAAGCCTGTGCAGGGATCCCCTGCTCAGACAGGCAGGCACTCGTGTGCAGGGCAGAGCTGTGCAGGGATCCCCTGCTCAGACAGGCAGGCACTCGTGTGCAGGGCAGAGCTGTGCAGGGCCACATCCACAAGGTCCCCTCCCTCCCCACAGAAGGCAGGGACAGCCCCAGCAGCAGGCCATGCTTCACTCACAGCTTCCTTCTCCTGGGCATCAATCTTGGCAGTTTGTGTGTCCACAGGCTCAGGAACCTTGAGTGCACTGAACTGGGAATTGAAAGACAATTTTTTTTAAAGGTTTGTTTGACTGAAACAATCCTTCACACCGAGGTCACCTTCCCCAGCAGCAGGGGAGCATTCCCTCCTGCCTTCCCAGGATCTGCTCACAATTATGTACATTAATGAGCTGAAAGTGATCAGTGCAGCTGTCCCCTGTCCCCCCAAGCTCACCCAGGAGCTTCAGACATCTCCTCTGCCCTGCCCAACACCACTGTGAGCAGGCTGGAAGGTCCAACACCCCAGACTTCCCTACCACAGAGTTACTGCCCCACACAAAGCTCCCAGACCCACCTGAGCTCAGTGGGTGCCTCCAGTCTTGGGAGGCAAGTTTTCACAGTGACACAACCAACCTTCTCTGCTGATCCTGCTGTTTTCCTCTCAATGCCCCAATTAAACTCCAAAAAGCAACACCCAGCTGGCAAGGAGACTGACCTTCTTCTGGAACTCATCCACCATTCCAGCCTTGGCAACATTGGCTTTGTAGAAAGCCCAGTCGATGGCCGGGGGCTTCTCTGGCAGTGCAGCCAGCCTGCAAGGATGGAGCACAGCACACATCAGCAGCAGCACAGCCCGAGTTTAGTTCAGGTGCTCTCAAGTTTGAAACAAGCCATGTCTGCAAGTCCCTCTGCCCTTGGACAGGGCAGAGCTCAGCCCCTGTGGGTGCAGCCTGTCAGAAGGGCCAGGCTGTTTCACAGTCTGCCCTTGGACAGGGCAGAGCTCAGCCCGTCAGAAGGACCAGGCTGTTTCACAACACCGAGCCAGAGGCAACCAGCAACATTCCCTGATCCCACAGCCAGCACTGGATCAGGCAGAGCACGCCAAAGGATCCCAGAACCACAGATGAATCTGCAGAGCATTTAACAGCGACAAAGCTTTGCCACAGCAGGGTGCGCTCACAGAGCCGCAGCTATTCTCAGGGGAAGATTAACTAAAGGTGATTTGCCAAAAAAAGCCAGCGGCGCCTGAAGGTGACCCGCTGCAAGCCCCGCGGGAGCGCGGAGCGGCGGGGCGGGCACTCACCGGGCCGTCAGCGCGTCGTTGCGGGTCTTGAGCGCGTTGAACATGGCCCGCTGGTTCGCGGGCACCCGCTCGGCGAACGCCGCCCAGTCCACGGCCTTGAGGGCAGCTCTGCGTCCCGCCATGGCCGCGCCTGGCCCGGAGACAGCGGTGGGTCACGGGGGGCGGGACACGGGGCACCGAGGGGCGGGACGGGCCGGGACCGGGGCACGGAGGGATCGGGGACACCGGGGATGGGGCACGGGGAGAACGCGGGCACAGGGACCGGGGCACGGGGAGAATGCGGGCACCGGGGCACGGGGGTCGCTCCTGGGGCACGCCGCGATGCCACGCGGGCCCCCGTGCTCTCCCACGAGCCCCCCAGCACCGAGGCCGCCCCCGGCCCGTGCCGTGCCGTGCCGTGCCCGCCCCCGGGGCCCGCCCAGCCCCCGCGCGGCCGGGGCGGCGGCGGGGTCCGCCGGGGCGCTGTCCGCTCCCGCCGCCGCCTCCAAGTGGGTGCGGCTGAACGTGGGCGGCACGTACTTCGTGAGCACCCGGCAGACGCTGTGCCGCGAGCCCAAGTCCTTCCTGTGCCGCCTGTGCTGCCAGGACGGGCCCGAGCTCGGCTCCGACAAGGTGAGGCCGCGCCGGGGTCACCGGGAAGCCCGGGCCCGAGCACATCACCGGCCTGTGCCCCGTGCCCCGGGCCGGGGAGGGGCCGCACCCCCGAACGGGCCCGGCCGCGCCCTCGCGCTGGGACACCGCGGGTTCCCGGCCCGGTTCCGAGCCCTCCGCCTGCCGTGGGCTGCCCTCGAGGAGCAGCACACATCCCCCGGGCGTTACAGCAGGAAGGAAACTCCTAGAAACGGGAATGTGACAGTTTCGCACCCTGAGCACCTCTGCTGTTGGTTTGGTGTTTAATGCATTTCACTGCACTCTCATAAAAGATCGTGGTGCACGTTCCTTGTGTGGCTGGACAGTTTTGAACTTATTATAAGGATCTTTCAAACAGTTATGCTTGTAATTGCAGAGTTTTTTGCAGTCATTGCAGTTTATTGTAAGGATTTTCGATTATTCTTGCAACTGCAGATTTATTTTTTTTCAGTTTATTGTAAGGATTTTGCAATTAACAATCATTCCTGCAGTTGCAGATTTCCCCCAGGATTGGGTGCACAGGGTGTTGTAGATGTTGTGAGTGAGCCAGAATCAGTCGAGTCTGTTGCTGCTCCATTCAGAGTTTAATGACAAGATAAATCCTGGTTGTGATCAAAACATCAGCCAGCAGCCTCAGTGAGCAGAGGAGAGATTTCAGAGTGGGTTTGCACAGTGCCTTGTTGCTTTAGAGAGGATTGGCAGGGGAACAATGCTGTGAAGTCCTTGAGGGAGGGCTGTGAGAGCTCTGGAGAAGAAGCACAGTGCTTCAGGGCTGCTCAGGAGGTGCTCTTGGCTGCCAGGGTTGGTTATTGGAGCCAGGAGTTGTTGTATTGCTGGACACGTGGCTGGAGCACTGCAGTGGTGGAAAGGGTTAAACATGAACTGTTTTGGCTAGAACTGGAGATCCCATTTTCCTCCAGAGCCCCCTGGTTAAACCAGCCTGGAGAACAGCTGAGCCAGAACACCAGTGCCAGGGTTTGGCTCTTACTGCCCCCTGACCCCAGCTGTTCTCTCCAGGCCCACAAGGTGTGTGCCTGAGTGCTTCATGTAAGTGTTGTAGAGCAGACACTGAAAAGGAAAAATGCTTTAAATGCAGCACTTTTGAACACCTCCTAGTCTGGAGAACAGCTGAGCCAGAACACCAGTGCCAGGGTTTGGCTCTTACTGCCCCCTGACCCCAGCTGTTCTCTCCAGGCCCACAAGCTGCCCCAGTGCCTCATGCAAGGCATCTGCAGTGTTGTAGAGCAGATACTGAAAAGGAAAAATGGTTTAAATGCAGCACACCTTTGAACACACACACACACAGTTTGAACACCTCCCACAGATGATTCCAGCTGCTCTGAGAGAAGCTGCTCCATTTGTTGTGCTGGGTTGCAGTCCTGTTTTGCTGGCAGCACTGAGCCCTGCCTGTTTTGCCCTCAGGATGAGACTGGAGCCTATCTCATCGACAGAGACCCCACCTACTTTGGCCCCATCCTGAACTACCTCCGGCACGGGAAGCTCATCATCAACAAGGAGCTGGCAGAGGAAGGTGAGAGAAAAGCACCAGGAGAGGCTGTTAGTGCTGTTAATTGCTCGTTAGCAGGGATTAAATCACCAGCTGCGTGTGTCCCCAGAGCAGAGCTGCAGCTCTCAGCACAGCCTGTCAGTGCTCTGAGCCCCCAGCCCCTCTGCCCCTCCCAGGCCTGGCTCTCCCCAGACAGGCAGCTCTGGGGCTGGGTGAAGGAACAGACACTGTGCCCTGAGATTTCTGATCATCCCAGGGAGAGGGGAATGTGTACCGTGATATTTTGTGAAAAATCCTTTGCTAGGATTCTTCTCCTAGCTGAGAGGCCTCAGAGAAGATATGTAAACAATGAACTATCTGATGGCTGTAGAATGTAATGTGGGCATTGTTTACCAACAGGTAAATTGTTTTCACTTGACCAGTCACACCACCTGTATCAAAGCTGTGAGCAGTCACAAGCCTTTGTTACTGCATTCCATTCTTGTTCTTTCTGGCCTTCTGATGAATCCTTTTCTCTCTATTCTTTTAGTATAGTTTTAATATATCATTTTAATATCATATATATCATAATATAATAAACCAGCCTTCTGGCTTATTATAATATAGATCATATTACAATGATATGTTAATAAGATATTTTAATGAGAATCTCAACTCCATTTCTGGAACATGGAGTCGAGATTCTCATCTCTCCACTCAATCCAGGAGCCCCCCACAAAGCATCCACCCCAGGAATAATGTTTCATAAAGCTCCTCTTAAGTCACAGCAGGAGGTGGCAGCATTTTCTCCTAGCCTGGGAGCAGGAGGTGGGTGGCACATTTGGGATTCTGACATCTGGGCTAGATTTGGAGTCAGCAGCAGGTTTGCATCCCTGTGGCAGGATGCTCTTCATTCCGTGCTGTGCAGAGTGACAGGACTGTGCTCTGGGTTGCTCTGCAGGGGTGCTGGAGGAGGCTGAGTTCTACAACATCGCGTCCCTGGTGCGCCTGGTGAAGGAGCGGATCCGCGACAACGAGAACAGAACCTCTCAAGTAAAGCCCCTCTGCCTTGTGAGCCAGCTCAGGGGGACAGGCATGGCTGCAGCCCTTGCAGCAGCACTTCTTGGGCTCAGCAGTAACAGGGCAATAAATGGTGTTGGGTGGAAGCAGGGCATGGCCAGCAGAGTCCTCAGTGTGGCTTTATAAAGCACAGAGCACTGAGTCAGCACTGCAGGCAAAGGCAAAGGACACTTACAGGAGAGGGGCCAGGAGCAGAAATGGGTGGTTACAAAGCAGAACATAGTGCTTTGGCAAAGAACAGCTCAAACTCTTCCTTCTCTAAACCATCTCTTCCCTTTGTCTCTCTGTGACATGTTTCCCATTGATGCTCAGCTGATATCAGCACATCCAGTAGATTCAATTTCAGAAATGTTTTCAAAAAGCAGCAAATGGCTTTGAAAGCTAAAGAAGTTTTAGCTTAGACACCTAGAAAGCTTTTAAGAGAAGAGTGCCAGGCATATGGTTGTGTTTTGGAATCAGTGGGATGAAAACACCCTTAGAAAGCCCTTGGGGCTCTGACTTCCTAAGATGAGAGCAGGAGCAGCTTATTAATTTTCTAGCATGATGCTAATAAAGCAATTACTAAGTAGAGCCATTGTTGTCTGTGCTCCAGGGACCTGTGAAGCACGTGTACAGAGTGCTGCAGTGCCAAGAGGAAGAGCTCACACAGATGGTGTCCACCATGTCCGACGGATGGAAATTTGAACAGGTACCATTAGCAAAGAATGGCAGAATTCCTTTGAAAACTGGGTGTGGAATAAGTAGAGTTGCCTGTTGAGTTGCTTTTCACACTGCTCTGCTCTTCTGAATGAGCAGCCTGACCTGATCAGCAATCCACTTGTACCCAGTTACTGACAGGGGAGAGCAGAAGTCACTCAAGCTGCCAGAGAGATTTCATTTTCTCTCAGGGCTTTTTGTCTGCTTGTCAAATTCCAGAGCAGTTCTTCCCTTCTCCTGCATTTCATCACATACACCAGGCCACAGTATAACAGTTATATCCAGAAAAATTACCAGAGCCATGAAAAAACACAGTACAACTTTCTTGGAGCCTCAAAGCCACGACTCCTGCATTTGCTAAAGAGGCTCTGAGGGACACAAGAACTTTGTGCAGGTGTCTGTGCAGTCAGCTGGTTCTGGGTGGCTGCAGGGCTGGGTGTCACTGCAGTGGCACATGGCATTAGCTCCACGTTTGGTTTCTGGAATCAAACACAGTTCTCTCATTTCTGAGGAGGGAGAACTGATACCTGGCCTGTGTGTTATGTTATGTTATGTTAAGAAACTACAGAACAGGGTCTGTGGATTACAGCAGTGTCTTCCCATTTAGTCCAGCTTCAGTACAAGTGGATGCTGTGGGAATTGTGCTGACATGTAGTGAGGCAGAGGATTAGGAACAGCTCTTCCCATCAGTTGTTCTATGGATCTGTTCTGTAATACCTGAAAACTGTCTCAGAGTGGAGAGGCAGCCAAAAACCTGCCCCATAAGGAAATAGTGAAATCTTGTGACCAGGAACCACTCACTGCTCCATTCCCAGGTTTTGCTGTTCAACAGTTTACAGAATCTGCCTTTCACACATCCATAGCTACACCCCCAAAACCTTGAGGCTACAGACAGTGCCTTTCATGGGAACCTGAATCCTTAGATCTTTCCTAATCTTCCTTTTCAAATCTATTATCTATAAATGTGGAGCTGTCTCTTCCAAAATCTGTTTGGACATGGAAGTTAAGCTGCATGCTGCACACTGAAGTTGGTAAGAGTCAATGCTTTCTTCAGATGACTTGGATTTATTTTCTGGAAAGCAGAACTGAGTTGTAAATGACAAATTAGCTCTGTACTCCAGGATGTCCTTTTAATGTAATAATGATGAATGAGACAGATGGGATTTCTTGGATTGAGTCCAGACCCCTCAACACAACAGTAATAGAATATAATCCCATTTACACAGATAGCAGACTCCATTTTGGCAGCATCCACATAAAGGACAGTGTCTGTTTACCACATGTCCCCAGTTAATCCAACATCTGCCTGGGGTAAAGAATTCCCATTTCCACATCAGTCACAAGGCAGTTGAGAGCTGAGTTCAGCAAGGACCAGGCAATTTGCAATGCCTGCCCACGTCTGAGTGAGCTGGATATTACATATTGCACAATCTGTTTTCCCTTTTTCCACCCTCACAAACTGGGCGATGTTCTGCTGTGT